CTTATTTTCAATGGTCAATCCTAGCTCAAAACTTACACGCATGCGGCTCGAGTTAGAAGAATATGACTTCACAGTAGAATATCTAAAGGGTAAAGACAATTACGTACCAGATGCGTTATCAAGAATAACCATCAAAGATTTACAAGAAATACAAAAAACAGGAACAATACTAAAAGTCACTACCAGAAACCAAAGTAAACAGAAAAATTCCTGCGCAGGAACAGAAAAATTAGATTTGCCTAGGCAAACTCTAAATAAAGCTTCTCAGCCCAACGTATATGAAGTCATTGTAAATGACGAAGTACGAAAGGTAGTGACCTTGCGAATAACAGATTCAAAATGTTTGCTAAAACATGGGAAAAAAGTTATAGCAAGAATTGATGTTGGCAATATGTACACCAATGGAATTCTCGATTTAGGTCAGTTCTTCCAAAGGCTTGAATTACAAGCCGGTATACTAAAAATCAGCCAACTCAAGATGGCACCGAGCGATAAGATCTTTGAAATTATTTCTATAGAATCTTTTAAAACAATGGGCAATAAGATACTAAAATCATTAAGAGTAGCGCTACTCAAGCCGGTGACCCAAATAAATAATGAGAAAGAAAAAGAAGCTATACTGTTTACATACCGTGACGATCCCATACAAGGAGGACATACAGGCATAACAAAAACCTTGGCCAAGGTCAAAAGACATTATTTCTGGAAAGGTTTAACTCGCGATATAACCAAGTACATACGAAAATGTCCAAAATGCCAAAAAGCGAAAATAACTACGCATACTAAAACTCCATTAACAATAACTGATACACCTGTACATGCTTTTGACAGAGTGATAGTGGATACCATAGGTCCATTACCAAGATCAGAAAATGGCAACGAATATGCAGTCACTTTAATCTGTGACTTAACAAAATACCTAGTTGCCATCCCAATAACAAATAAAAGCGCAAACACGGTAGCAAAAGCTATCTTTGGAAAATTTATTTTGAAGTACGGTCCAATGAAGACGTTCATTACGGACATGGGTACAGAATATAAAAATTCAATCATTAACGGCTTATGTAAATATCTAAAAATAGAAAACATAACGTCAACAGCGCACCACCACCAGACAGTAGGAACAGTAGAAAGAAGTCATAGAACTTTTAATGAGTACATACGTTCATACATATCGGTTGATAAGACTGATTGGGACGTATGGCTCCAATATTTTGTGTTCTGCTTCAACACTACACCATCAATGGCACATAATTATTGTCCATATGAATTGGTATTCGGTAGAACACCAAATATACCAACACAATTTTATAGTATAGATAATATAGCACCTATATATAACATAGAAGATTACTCTAAAGAGAGTAAATATAGGTTAGAAATAGCTTATAAAAGAGCAAGAACTATGCTCGAGGAGAATAAGAGAAGAAATGAAATTATATATGACTCGAAAATAAAAGATTTAGAAATAGCAGTAGGAGATATGGTTTTATTAAAAAACGAAGTAGGTCATAAATTAGACTTTAAATACGCAGGGCCCTATAAGGTAGAAAATATAGATGGTAGAGATAACATAATAATCTCGAATGAGAAAAATAAAAAAACAAACAGTTCATAAAGATAAGCCAAAATTTTTTACTTCTTAAAAAAAAAAAAAATAAATAAATATATTACATTACCCATTCATGAGTGTATTAATTTTAACTTTATCAAATCAAATCAAATTCAATAATTCAATTAAATATTTAAAGATTTCTTAAATATATATATATTGGTAAAAGCAAAATATACTATCAATTTTACTACACTTTTCCAATTAGCAATACATAATAATAATAATAAGAATTAATTTTCATTTTTAAAATAACTACATATATTACGTTATTTTTCAAAAGGAGGGAGATGTAGTATGCATACATAGGCAATACCCACTGTACCAAGTGTACTTAAGGGGAACACACTGTAACACTCTGTTGCAGTGTTTATGTAATTAAAAGTCCCAGGCATAACTTGAGCTATCAGAAATGACGGATGTCTTTTCTTTAAAATCCCTATCCCTGGAAGATAATACACTGGAAATTTGACAAGAAAAGGATGCAACTTGATGGCTCGCCGTATCGGACACGGGACCAGGGAGCACCCATCCGAAAATGGTTTCTTGGCCGAGAAGAGAGCCACATATGTTGGGCTGTAAGCCGATATCGGCTACAATCAGGACATCGATTGGTGAGCTCTCGAAGAATGTAGGATCCGACAATGGAAGACTCGGCAGATCTTTCAATAAACTTGGCGAGATAGGATGCAACGGAAGATTCTTTGCCAATTACGGGATAACATAGGCCGAAGCGTTTAATCGTAAACCCGGCCTTGTTGGTGAACGAATGGAAACTTGACAGAGCTTATCGGAATGAGCGGATACTGTCTGATTGAGGCTGGAGATCTGTGTCTGAATACGTTGGAATGGCAATTGAATCGTGTTGAAAAGGCGTTTCGTAATGAACCTTGCCTCGGAGCCCGAGTCGATCAGAGCGCGGGCGCGGAAATTTTTCCCAAGGTGGCAAATATTAATAATTGCCGTGCCTAGAAGGACAGAGCTTGTGCCGGAGGCGAAATACGTCTGAACGTTAGGATGAGGTTCGGAAGAGCTTGAATCGTCTGCGGACTGTACCGGTCGATCGACGTCTGGCCAAGCTGTGGAATTGGGTACGGATGTGGAATTGGGTACGGATGTGGAATGTAACTCGCTGGATGGTGGATTGCCACGATGCAGAAGCGTGTGGTGTCGTCCTCCACAAGTGTTGCAATTGTGGGAGCTTGAGCAGGCGCGAAGCTGATGGCCTCTTGCGAAGCAATTTAAGCAGAGCTGCTTTTGCTTTATGCAGTTGGAGCGAACATCCACGGTCATTTGTAGGAAATGAGGATGTTCGCAGCAGAACGCCATCTGAATATATTAGATCTCTACCTCTTAAAATCACGACATTGAAGTCACACACTATTATTTTTAAATGTCATTGTAAATTTCACCACTAATCTATCGATAGGTATATATAAAAAGTTCGAGAAGTAAAAGCACAGTACAAGTAGTCATCTTTTTTTGGTTTTTAATGTTTATAAATTACAAAAGGGGCCGAAATGTACACGTACACGGGCTCGAGTGAGCGCTACTCTCTATCGATCTTATCGCGTTATTTAGCAGATCGGCTATATTAACCAAGCTGTCGTTACACCATAGAATAATAGTCAATAAGTAGAAAGCAATGAAGTTATGTATGAAATGTAATGTAGTTCGTAAGGTTACGGCATGAAGTACCGCCACTGTAAATCCAAGCAACATGTAACTACACGCCCGCAGCATAGCCGACAAGCGAAGCGTGGGAATAAAGCACTCGTAAATTGAACTTCGTTTCGCACGGTTTAGCCATGATCGCCCTTTATCGCCGCCCACAGCTCTGGTCTGTACTGCTAATTCCCGCGTCTCAAGCCTAAGTAAAGGCATCAAACAAACAAACAAAAATAGTTTCGAATTTTCTACATGGCGCCCGAACAGGGACCTTGGAATTAGTTTCGTTTTTAAATTAATCGTTGTTCGACCAGAACGCTGTTCGCGAGTTAAAGCCGCGAAAAAACCGCCGAGCCAACAATCGACAATCCAGAAGGAAGATCACGGAATCCACGGAAGACCACATTGGAGACCGCCATCCACACCTACAACCGAAGCAGAACATAGACATTGAGTTGCCAACGCCCAGGGAAGTGGATTCATCCTACGACCAGGTAACAATGCCAAAGCAATAGCGGCTAAAATAATAGCGTTTAATACCTATTGGCTTGGCATTGAACAGTATTGTACATACATTCACCTACCGTTTAACTATTCGTGATAGCTGGGTAGTTCGGGAAGAGTATTAGAAGGCGCCAACGACATAGTTTACCGCTCATTTCGCATTTGGTAGCATTATTTCGCATTTCGTTTCGTTCGCTGAGAAAACATTGACCCTTGCAGCGGTAAACTAATTTTCGCGCTCTTTAATGTACAGCATACGGTTCTCTTAAGTTTACGTTCGTGCAGTACCCTCGTCGTAACTTTGCTCCCGCAGCTTCGTGGTTATCCAACTCTCTAACTGGTGTCGCCCAGCTTGTCGTTTGTGAAGAGAGCTGATCATCCGCTCTTATATTGTGCCAATCAATTGAAACATCGTTCGCCACTTCGTTTTTGGGTCGAACGCTGTTCTAATTTAGGTATTTGTGTGCGCTTTGACATCTAATTTTCTAGCTGGTGTCGCCGAGCTTGTCGTATGCGCCAGAGAGCTGATCATCCGCTCTTATATTGCGCCACTCAATTAAACATCGTTCGCCACTTAGTTTTCGGGTCGAACGCTGTTCTAATTTCGGGAGTCGAGTGCGTTGCGCGCATTAGAATTGCGTTTGCTTATTGGTTCGAACTTGGTTCGAGCTCAGTGTGTCGAGCCAAACTTGGTGTTGGTTGCGTACGCTTAGCTTAGCGTTGCGCGCATTGGAACTCCAACGTCCGTTTCGTAGGGGATCGAACGTGGGTCGAGTTTGGTTCGCCGTGACAGAGCTCGGTTGCGTTTGTTGCGTTTTTGTCTGTTCTAACTGTTGCAGTCGTTGTCGCATCGAACCTAATACGTTTATACGTGGGTACTTGAATACTTTTGCCGTACTGTCAAACATTGTTCTCATTGAACGCAGTGCATTTCCTCAGGTTATCGTCGCCTTCGCTTAGCAAGTTTGAAGTTTAGAAGTTAGGAACAGCCAACGTTGGTAATTTAATCAACATGTCTAAAGATCATGATGAAGAGAAGGCAACTGGGAGCGGAATGTGTGGAAGCACGAAGCTCACAAAATTGTATGTGAGGTTGGAGAAGATAAGCGAAGATATAAATCGAATGAGGATAGCATTTGAGGAGGGTTCAATTTCGCTGGATCCATTACAAATCCAATGTCGTTTGGAAATATGGAACTCCTATATTGAAAAAGCAATGGCCCTGCAGTCCGAGATTGATGTACTAGACCCAGATAATTCAGATAGGGCGGCGTTGGAAGAAACGTGTGTGATCACAAAGGCTCTGTACATGTCGGCAGCGACCAACAGATCCCCTCAACCATACATGAATTCAGCACCCACAGACCACCACTCCAATTTGCCAAAATTGAAGTTGCCGAAGTTCAGCGGCAAGCATGCGGATTACAAACAGTTTATTAGTCTTTTTGAAAGTTTGGTAGATTCCGACCCGTCGTTGTCCAATATAGAGAAGTTCAACCATCTCATATCGTGCTTGTCCGATGAAGCCTTGGGAACCGTTAAGGCGTTCCAAATTTCAGATGCCAACTATCCAAAGGCGTTAGAAAGTTTGAAGAGGGTGTACGACAACAAGTGCTTAATATTCTTTGAGACACTTGCCCAGTTGTTTGACATTCCTGCCGTAACCAAGCCGTCAGCGTCTGCATTGCGATCAACTATAGATACAGTGTCAGCCATTCTGGAGTCGCTTTTATCGTTAGGAGACGAGCGAGAGGTTGCTAACGCCATGATAATACATCTCGTGTTATCCAAGGTGGACCCATACTAGGGATGGGTATCGATATGGCAATATCGATATTATATCGATACTTAAATGCGATATTTAAGTTCAAAACGATATGATATTCAAAGCGATATTAGCCGAAAACATCGATATTTCTTACGATATATCGACATATTTTCTCGTCTCAAACAAAGAGAAAACAAGGACGTTGACGACAATCAAACTTCGTTTTGGCAAATGGTGACTGAGCTCCATAAGCAGCAAACTCCAGTAATGCACGAAAGGGATGAAATGTCTCACTAGTTAACGTCGTCATTGGCAGATCCAAAATCGAATCCCCTACAAGTATGGGCTTCAAACAAGGATACATATCCTGCTCTCTACAAAATTGCACTTGATGTATTACCCATTGTAGCTACGTCAGTTCCATGCGAACGACTATTTTCTGCTGCTGGTCGGACACTTTGAAATCGTCTAATGCCAGAAAAATTGTCACAATTGAAAGTTTGGAACGGAAGGATTGGACAAATTAACATTTGAGTTAACTTTTTACGTGTTAGCATATACATAGGTAAAAAAAGACAAAAAAGGATCTCATCTTATATTTTAGTTATTTTTTCTTGAAGAATATTATATTTTTGATTTTGTTGTAATAAATTTGTTTTTGGATTTAACTTTCGACCTCAGTCTAATACTTATATTTTATATATAAGTATATATATATATACTTATAAAAACATTGTAAATAAATACTATTAAAACTATAAAAATATATAGCTCGATAATATCGATTTTATCGATATTCAAGGCGATATGGCGATATTCATTACGATATCATATCTTCGATATGATATTCTATGTGATATTTTGATTTAGGTCAATATCGATATTTGCTTGACGATACCCATCCCTAACCCATACACAAAAACAAAGTATGAGGAGCAGCTGAACTACGATGAGCTCCCTTGCTGGTCGGATTGTGCAAAAATGTTGAACCGCCGGTACCAACACCTTTCAGCAGAGGAGTCATCCAAAGCGAGAGGCAAACCAAAGTTTGACATGCCGTCGACCAGCAAGAAAACCAGCAGATCGTCATTTTCTTGCGCGAGGGCCGAAAAGTCGATCGACCCCAAGTGTGTATATTGTGCGCCAACCATTCGATCGGAAACTGCCAGGGATTTGGGGCAATACCCGTCTTGGAGCGTTTCGAGTTCGCAAAATGCAAGCAATTATGCATTAATTGCCTCCAATCTGGACATAGGGTATCTCAGTGCACATCCTCTAAGTGCAGAGTTTGTTCACAGAGGCATCACACCCTCTTGCATAGATACGCAGCTCAGAGCGCAGATTCAGAAAGTCAGGCAATAGGAGTACAAGCATCGTCCCATCCTGCGCAGGTGAAGCAGGCATCCAGTGAGCCCGAGCATGTCATCCTTGCCACAGCAGTGGTAAGAGTTCGGGACAGATTTGGCCAAGTTCACTTAGCAAGAGTGTTGTTGGATTCGGGTTCACAGGTCAATTTCATGACAGAAAGTCTAGCGCAATCGCTAAGGTTGGCAAGGGTCAACCGTTGCCTGACAGTGACATCTGTAGGCAAGTCAAGCTCGGTGTCGAGGAGTGAAGTCTCGACGACAATATACTCCAGGTTAAATAACCATAGTTTCGTAGCAGATTTCTGGGTTCTTAGCAGCATTACCAATCAGCAGCCTGACAGAAGTCTGCCCATTAAGCAGTGGAAAATTCCTGCGAATGTGCAGTTGGCAGATCCAGCATTCCATCGACCTCAAAGGGTAGATATGCTGATTGGAGCAGACTCGTTCTTCGATCTGTTGTGCACAGGCCAAATAAAACTGGGTGAAGGGGCACCATTGTTGCAAAAGACCCTTTTAGGTTGGGTAGCTTCAGGTCGGTGTAGCAAGCTTCTGACTGGAGAAGCCGCTTGCTGCGTCGCAACCTACTCACCGGAAGAAGACTATCTGTCTCAAATGGTCGAAAGACTGTGGGAGATAGATGCAACGCCAGAAGCAAAAACATGCTCAAACAAATTCGGCAGAGCAGCTGGCATGCGAAGAGTTTTTCAAAGCCAATGTCTGCAATTTACCGACCGGATGGTTGCAAATACCGTTGCCTTTTAAGACAGACCCAGTATCGTTGGGGTCGTTCTTCGAGGTCGCAAAACGTCGTTTCTTATCGTTAGAGCGACGAACGTTAAGAGAGAGTGAGCTGAGAGACATGTATCTCAGTTTCATGAAAGAATATATCGAGCTCGGCCATATGTCTCCGACAGACAACGCGATTCCGCCAGGACCACATTATTTTATACCACACCAGTGCGTCCTGAGGCCGGTGTACGCCACAGAGACACCCACAAGAAGGGTTCTGAGGTGATCTGCAGTGATTTTTATGTAGACGACATGCTGACAGGAGCCGATGACGTAGACACGCTGAAGTCGATTTGCGATCAGGTGTCTGAGATTCTTGGCTCCGGAGGGTTTCAGCTTTCGAAATGGTTTTCGAACCATCCAGAACTAATGGATGGAAACAATGAGGAAAAATCCCTATCATTCAATGATGCCGATTCGACCAAAACATTGGGGATGAGGTGGAGTCCAAGAACAGATACGTTCCGGTATCACTTGGAAGATAGCTTCACAAACTTGAATCCGACTAAGCGCACCATTCTGTCAATTAGTGCTCGACTGTTTGATCCGCTTGGGCTACTTAGTCCAATCAGCATAACAGCGAAAATTTTCCTCCAGAAGCTGTGGCAGCTTCAGCTGGATTGGGATGAAGCCATCCCAATGTCACTGCATACAAGCTGGGAGAGGCTAAAGCTAAACTTGTGTGGTCTTGAGAAAATAGCCGTGCCTCGGTACGTTATGGCTAGTGGGTGCTCGTCGATTCAAGTGCATGGCTTCGCGGACGCGTCTAGTCAAGCGTAAGGGTGCTGCATTTATGTGCGAGCGCTTTTTGAAGGTCAAACGTACGTTCGATTGATCGCTGGGAAAGCAAGAGTAGCTCCCCTAAAAACAAAGACCATCCCGAGGCTGGAATTGTGCGCCGCAGCGTTATTGGCGCAATTTTGGGCCTACGTAAAGCAAGTTTTGGAAAAGTGTCGAATCGAGAGCGTATTTTTCTGGACGGATTCAGAAATAACGCTACATTGGATTAAAACCCAACCGTCGTCACTTGCAGTATTTGTCTCAAATAGAGTAGCCATGATTCAGGAGCTATGTCAGGGCATTACGTGGCGTCATGTCCCATCGCTGTCTAATCCAGCGGACTTGGCGTCTCGCGGATGCGAAGTGCCTGAGCTCCTGGAGTCCATATGGCTAGAAGGTCCGAAATTTTTATGTGAGCCTGAGCATTGTTGGCCAGAGAACCCGCATTTTAACATCCCAGATGATGTGAAGAACTCCGAGGCGAAACGGTCCGCACAGGTTCTAATTGGCGTTGCGAACTCGTTTTCAAATGAAATATTTTCTCGTTTTTCGTCGTACCCCAAATTAGTTCGAGTTTTTGCGTATGTATACCGATTTGCTAATATCGGAAAGAACAAGGAACGTTACAGGGAGCTAACTGCAAAGGAGTTGCAGCAATCGCCTCTAAAATTGATGGAGCTGGTTCAGCGAAGCGTCTACTCTGAAGAGTTTAAGAAGCTGAAGCAAGGGCATACGCTGCAGCCGAGCCTGCAGATGATGGCCCCTTTTATCCAAAAAAGATCAGAGGAGGGGCGATCGTTTACACTTATCAGGGTCGGAGGAAGGCTGTTGCATGCTCCAGTGCCAATAGAGGCTAAGTTTCCGGTTCTACTTCCCGCCAAGAGTCAATTCGTCGAACTCTATTTAAGGAACCTGCATTTTAAAAATTGTCACGCCAATGCAAAGACATTAGTAAGTTTGCTGAGACAAGAGATTTGGCTAGTAAATGCACGTCGAGAATGCACTCGCATAGTGAGGAGATGCATCCACTGTTTTGGATACAAACCTAAATTGATGGGTCAGATTATGGGGAATCTTCCAGCAGACAGGTTTAGGGAAGGTCGTCCGTTCCTGATTTGCGGGGTAGACTTTTGTGGTCCCATCAACGTCTCGATTCGGATTCGAGGTCGTCAGCCGCTCAAAATGTACATCGCGGTATTTGTGTGTTTCGCTTCGAAGGCCGTCCATTTAGAGCTTGTCCCAGACCTGTCGACTAATTGTTTTCTTTTATCTCTAAAAAGCTTCATCGCAAGACGTGGCGTTCCGCTGAGGATGTATTCCGATAACGGGACAAATTTCGTCGGAGCCCGGAACGAGCTGCAGAGGCTTCAGGAAGCGTTCGAGGAGCAGCAGTCCAGCCTGAGGACGTTCGCGGCGGAGCAAGGATGGAGTGGAAGTTCATCCCCCCGCGAGCACCGCACTTCGGCGGTTTATGGGAGGCGGCCGTCAAGTCGGCAAAGCTCCTGATCGTGCGACAGGTCGCGGACGCCGCGCTCACCGAGAGCGAGGTGAGGACCGTGTTGGCCGAGGCCGAGGCCATCATGAACTCCAGGCCGCTCACTCCAGCCAGTACGGATCCAAACGACGGAGAGGTGCTTACGCCAGGCCACTTTTTGATCGGCCAGCCCCTTCGTTCGCTGCCGCAAGGGTGCGAGCCAGACGGACGGAGCAGCGGTACCACCTTTACCAAGAGGTGGCAACTACTCTCCGAGCTCAAACGACGGTTCTGGCAGGCTTGGTCGAAGGACTACGTCCACAACCTGCAGGGACGCAGCAAATGGCAAACCCCAGAGGCCAACATCGAGGTCGGCGCCATGGTGGTGGTCCACAACGACCATACGCCGCCGCAGCAGTGGATCACCGGCAGGGTCACCAGCGTCGTCGTGGGAGCAGACGGCAAGGTCAGGGTGGCAGAGGTGCGAACAGGAGGGGGCGTGATTAGACGCCCAATCCATAAGCTGGCACTTTTGCCGATACGTTGAAGCCCGACGTGCGGTCGTTCAAGGCGGCCGTAATGTCGTTACACCATAGAATAATAGTCAATAAGTAGAAAGCAATGAAGTT